TTTTTTTTTTTTTTTTTTTTTTTTTTTTTTTAACCTTCCTATGTATTTTGCACATGTTGGCAACTGTGGTTCTCTTCCTGTCCTCTATTTTTTCTCTCCCACATGTGTTCAAAATGAGATAAGTTACAAACGGTTTCCCCATCATCGCTAAGCCCTGGAACACTTCATCTAGCTTCATCATCTTTTACGGATCCATTTTAAGCCATATCCTTCCTTTTTCTTGATCTCAAAGCAAAAGCTCTCTTTCCCTTCTTGGCAAAATTTGGTTCAGCGAGATCCACAAAAGTTTCTCTCCGACTATTGTTTTGTTAAAACAGCCCAAATTTACCACTGGTCTTCCTCACTGTACAACACAGGATGCTCTAAACCAACATCACTGCCTTTTTTTGGCAGCCCTATTTTGTATTCACTCTTATCGGCTGCTTATATCGTAGTTTTGCTTGAGTCCTGTGTTGTAAAATGAGCTCTCATCCGCTTGTTATTTTGAGAGTTGGGTATTTTGAGGAGGAGTGGACTGGGCCTCTGTTTTCACCAGCCCTCTCTTTTCCTCTGCATAACCCCTACCTGGTATCAGTGAGCTTGCATCCAAAATACTGACCTGTTTTCTTTCTTTCATGCTTTTTGCACCTTTTCTCAGAAGATGACAGCCTCTCTTCTAGGACACAGAATCCAGTGCAAGACAGTCCACCTTCTTGCTCAGCAAGCACAGCACTGAAAAATGCACAGGGTAATCTCAAAGGCGAAGGGAGGCAGAGCCATCATAGTTTCTCAGTGATGGTGGGTGGCCTCAACACCCCAGGGCTGGTTTAGGTAGTATTGCTCTTACATACAGCAGCACCTCCTATAGTTGGTGACAAGGCCATCTCCTCACCAGTCAGGGACCAAGAGATTTACACGCAGTAGCCGGAAAGGACCCCCCTTGCCCTACTTGCTATGGAGGAACATGAATTCTTGTGTAGTTTTTCTCTCAGAAAATAGTGCAACACTTTGAGCATAAGATGCTCCAGAGTGAAAATAAGCCTGCAGAGTTGATTGCCATTTTAGAGAGGTTACATGTTGGACTTGTGCTTTCAGGTGCAGTTCCCACCGACATGGAGCTCATATCCTCCATGATGCAAAAAATTGCTCTGTTGGAACAAAAAGTAAAGAAACAAGCAGAGGAAATCCAACTGAAGGTATAAATCCTGGCTCTTGCAGGGCCTGTTCAGTGCCCTACTTTAATGATTCAAATCATAGTAACAATATACCTACTCAGACCTACTTTGGGCAAAAATAAGTTAATCTGGAGTCTGCTTACTGCAGAAATGACCCATTGCAAAGCCCCAGAGTAGACATCATTTGTCCTTGTGGTGTGGGACATGACAGGCATATTATGCTGGGCTTGTTATGGCTTTAAGAAATGAATCTCAGCACTCATTCCCCTAAACCATTAGCTGCTTGGCTGCAGACTTTCCTTCTTTTTGCTTTCTGAAACAGCAGCTGCTCAGATGACGGGGCTGCAGCACAACACGCCTCTTCACCTGGCTGAAGTTTAGAATAAACAGTGTTTTTTGAAGTTCTGACTACAGAGATGATGGTTCATTTTCTAGATTTGTCACTAACTGCAAGTCAGATTGTGAACCGTGCCTGAACAGGGAGTGCAAGGCCGTGACCACATATATCCTATAGCTCTTGCACATATGGACAAGAAGGGAGTAGATAGGTCAGCATGTGACCCTGCGTATGCAGGTGGGTTGGACTAGATGATCTCTAGATCTAGATCTCTTCCAACCTTAAGGACTCTGTGATCCTATCTCCCTTACCTATTCTTGGAGCAGTGTAATTAAACCCTAGCCTTCCTTTGGGTCCGATCAAGGTATTTCTGAGGAGATAAGAACCTTTGTAACACATCTTAGTGTGGTCAGAGTATGTATACCATCAAGTCACTCTGTTTGTTTGTTTGTCTTTTTGATCTTAAAGGACAGGAAGATTGCTGAACTTAAGGGTAAGATGAAGACGCTTCAGAAAGTGGAAGGTAAAAAAAGCCCTGCCCTTGGCACCCTGTTCCTATCTGAGAGTGCCCCAGAGCTCCAAACCGGGAGACCTTCCTCAGGACTTCTGACCTGCCCTTGCCTTAGATTGGTTACACACACATGCTGCTGTTAACCAAGGCAGATCCTCACTTCATACATGCATATGTTACTCTGCTTTTCTGGGGCAGTGTAATTCAGTATTTCGTGACCCATTTTTTTTATAGGTTACTAAGTTTCCATGAGTATAGAACCAACCATGTAGGGTAAATGACAGCTGTCAGAGAACAAGTAAACAGCATAGAATTCAAACAGTCTGAAAAAACAGGGCTACTCACTTAAACAAAACCCAGATTCTGCTTGGAACCTCAAACAGTTCTCACTGTGCAGGTTCTGGCCTGTCCACATCTTTCTCAAAGCAATGCAGGTTGAATTTGGCAGGGACAACACACACAGCTCCAGGGGCTTACGGGCTCCAATTGATTCACAGTACAGGCAGGCTGCTGGGGCTTCTGCACTGCATAACATAGCTTATCTGTAGCAATTCTTTAAGACAGTGCATAGAAAAATAATAAGAAAATATTCCCTATCAGATGCTCCTGACTTACCCAGAGCGGAGGATCTGGAAATGAGGTGCCTTCAGCTACAGACCCAGGTCTGGGAGATGGAGGTGAGACTCTTGCTTTGCTTACCCCAAGCTATCTGCACCTTTCATGTGAGGTTCTTTCAGTCCCAGCTTGCTTGGTGCTTATTTTGCTTGCTTGGTTTAATTGTCACAAATGTTCACCTCACCCGTCGGAAAAGAAAAAGCAGGTTGGATGGCAACAATAGGGAGAAGGGGAATAGTTTGTGCACACAAATGTCAGGCCTCACAATTTTGGTTTCTAGGGCTGTATTCTTTGCAGCTATATAACTAAAGCTAGTTTCCTTGTGACATTAATCTGCTACTATGTCTCCTCTGTCATTGAGATTGTCCATTTGACAGGGCCAAACAAGCCATAAGTCAGCTTCACTTTCATGTCCCCTTCTGCATGTCACAGTCACAACTACTCTCAGGTTTACAGTTCCAATTTCTGTGGCTGTAGACCTACATTACTTGTATTTTCCTCGTCTGTATGCAGCGGTTTCTAAATGACTATGGTCTGATTTGGGTTGGAGAGAGTCATGAACAACAATTAGAAGCATTCAAGGATGAAGAACTGCCCGCAAGGATGCTCTGGAAACCAGGTAACACTCAGCACTCTTTGTTGGGGCGGCTGTCGTAGCTCTCTCTGGACACTTAGAGAGGGTGCAATATTTCCTAGAGAAGATAAGCAGGTCATCAGAACTTGTGATCTTGTGCTGGCATCTTCACATCAGCCCACCTCGGGTAAGCAGACATGGAACAATATAACAGAAGCTGGGCCAGGCCAAATATTGATATTTATATGTATATATTTTATAAACATAATTTGGGAGAAGAGGAGAAAACCTGGTGGTTTAACCATTTGGAAAAATACCCTCAACGGGAGCTGTTTCCTGAAGACCTGACGTACCCTAAACATAGAAGGCTTGATTTTGCTCTAACAGGAATGACGTAACATGCATGGAGAACAGCATCACATGTTTGTGTATAGAGTAGCCGCGGTAACTTGCCCACATTGTCTGGCTCTGTCAGGGAGCATTGTTTGCCTTTCCTCCCAGCAGCCACATGAATGGTTTAAGTGGGGCCCGATTGTGCTGAATGGGGTCCAAGGCTATTTGGCAACAGCCTTCTAGGAAATGCTGATGGAAAAAAATAATACTTGGGCTCTACAGCCAATGCTGCCTCCCGAGCACTGTGCAGATACTGGCTAGTTATTTCTTCCCTCTCTTAAATGCAGAAGATAAGACGGGGAAAGTAGCAAAAATAACTGTCATGATTTCCATTTCACTCACTCCCTTTAACAAATTTTTTTCTCTTACATAAGCTGTTTTTTTTTCTTTACCAGATCTTTGAAAAGCAGAACAGAAAAATATCAAAGGCCCTGGGCCCCACCTCTGCCTCTATTTCTGCTCTCATTTCCTCTTCTGGTTTAATTTCTCCATGTCCTCATAACATCCCCTGTGCCACTCTCCCTCCACATGCCCCCAAACAATCACAGTCAGCAATACCCCAGTGGGAGAGAGCTGCTCTGGGGAGAAAAATCTGCTGGTGGCTGGGAGCAGGCAGCCAGCTGTGTTTACACTGGCACTTCCTCAGCAAGCCTGGCCCATTTACCCAATCTACACAATAAGTTCCTCCTTCTGTGCATTTTACAGCATCATTTTAAGAGACAACACATTAAATTATGAGCAAACACAAGGATCTAAATGTGGCTGCAGAACAGTTTGCTGTGGCTTTAGCTGGCTAGGGGGGCTAATGTCAGCCTTTAACAAGTGGGCTGTTTCCCCGGCAGGGCCCTTGTGGTTTCGCACACACCCATGAGGACTTGGCAGCACAGCGACACAGCAGTGTTTTTGCACCGTGTTTTGCAAGTTTGCAGAAGCTGAAATGCAAAAAGGCAGCACAGACAGCCCCAAAATATTAGCGTTCAAATGCACCTTGAGTATGTCCACACAGATGTGAAAACTGCCTAGCTGGCACCTCCTTCCCCTCGTAACTGAGCTTCTTTTGCTACAGGTGAAACAAGTGCTTCAAAATTCCAAATTGATTTTGACTTAATTTTGGAAAACGTGAAGGATTTGAATGCACTGGCTGGGGAAGGCCTTTCTGAAATAGAGCACACGCCGCGGGGTGCTCGGTTGAGACAGCCACAATCCCTCCCTCTCACGCTGTATCAAGATGGGATTGTCATGGGCAAGGGACCCTTTCGGCCCTATGAAGAACCGTCCACACAGGTATGGAGAGGTGTGGGGGGAACTCAACATCGTGGTCTTCCTCCCTAAGTCTCAGAGGGGGCTTGGGAGCTCACTCCCAATCATAAAGCACAGCTGCTGAGACCTCCCAGGCTCAGCCTTATGCTCTCATGATGCCTTTGGGGACTGTCACTTGTACTGCTTTTAGAGGTAAAAGTCTGAGTCTTCAATGCAGACTATTCTTAGCTGCTGAAACACAAGTCAGAGCAACCTAGGAGGAATAGATTAGTCATGAGATGACTGCAGAGTCTGAGGTTCTTGTTCTTTGTTTCAGCAATACCTGCAGGATATCATGGATGGCTATTTCCCTTCAGAGCTACAGCCACACTACCCCAACGGCATTCCTTTACAGGTGGGCAGAGCAAAGCTCCACTCATCAGCACTTTGATAGAAATTGCTCTCTTGGCTCCCTAAGAAAAGTGCTCTGATTTCTCCCACTATCACCAATCTGCTGGATCCTCCCCAAAGCAAATTAAGTCTAAGGATCCTGTACACAGCTAAGAAGCAGCTAAGTTCTCTGCGTGTGTGTCTTGGGAAAAGGGTGGCTAGAAGCAACACCTGCTAGAGCCGTTACAGGAAACGTGAGTATTTGTTCATTGGGACTGAACAGTTTTTCTGCCTCGGTGAATCGTGGCTTAGAAGAAGACTTCAGAAAGCATAACATGCTTTGTAGAAGATAAGCAGCATGTGCAGCAAGTGAGCAGCTTTGCAATAAGAAAAAAAAAAAAAGGAGAAAAAAAAATCTCAAGCAACTCCCCTGGGAAAGTTTTAACAACAGATTAGACACAGGTCTCACAGGGAAGTAGAAAAAGTTGATTTTGCCGTAATCCAGTTGCCTTGGGCTTCCTGAAAAGTCTTTGGCTTTTTTATTTTTCTCCCCTCTAAAGCTACCAGGAAAAAAAAAAAAGAGCTCCATGTTTTCAGGCAGAAAGCGGGCAAAGGGAAGGAATCTTGGAGGACTGTAATGTAAGTTCAAACGCATCTGAAACAGCAGGCTCAAGCAGGGGGGACATTTACCTGCTGCCAGAAGGAACACAGGCCTCAAGTGCACAGGCAAATACTGCTTCAGCCAAGCTGAGATGGTAGGTGCAGGGGCTGAAAAGTCAGGGGGGAGAGGCAGGACTGTCACAAGGCTGCGTTTGTGGCTCCCTTTAAGCCCTGCATGGCTGGCCAGGACTACAGCACACTGGAAGAACTCAGTGTCTGTCACAACCGTGATTTGGACAGTCGGGTATAGAGGGAACAGGGACATGAACGGAACTCAAGCAGAGAGGCTGTCCCCATCTGCGCACCTCTCCCATGTGGCTGGGGCCTCAGACTCGCACGCTTCCTTTCTTGGTTTCGGAGCTCTCTGGCAATCCCCAGCACCCAGCTCTCCCGCGCAGCGCCGGCTAAGCCTAACCGCAGCGCGCGGCTGGCGGCAAATTCCTCCTCCCCCCAACCTGCTTGCAACTACGGAGAGGGGACGGCTTTCCTGGGCCTGTTGAGATGGATGAATGACCACCCTGGTCACTGCATGGACCATCAGTGAGCCCTAGACTTCAGGAAACAGCCAGAATTTGTTTAGTTTGAGAGTCTGTAGCGTCTGAAAGCGTATTTGAGGTTTGAGAGATGGAGCAGCTTCACAGGAACTAGCTCCCTGTTTCACTTGGGGTTTACAGTTCTTGGTTGATCTTCCGGTGTTTTAACGTGCTCTGGTGCAGTTAGAACTGGTTTAGGGCAGCAGTCAGACTTGCTTACAACGGACAACCTTAATCAACAGGTCACGGACAAGAGGGATGTGGTATTCCGGGAGAAACGCCTTCCAGGGAGCTTTCCTGGCCCTGGTCAAGTGGTTGGCCATTCAAAATCAAATGAGCTAGAGGAAACCACTGAGATCGCAGGTAAATTCTTAAACACGCCTGGAAAATCACAGGTAACTCCCAAGAAGGAAAATGAAAATCTTACCATGGTGTCCAGGCAGCAAGAAATGAACAAGTAGTTCTCAGGAAGGCGGTATTTCTGTGTCAAAGCCCTCCACCTGAAGCTCTTGGAGCAACACCAAGAGCTGCATCTGCAAGCCAGCCAGCACACAAGGTGGCCTTTTCATCACTAAATCTTCCTAAAGAAGGAATCATGACAAGCCATAAAGAAACATAAGATCAGCAGGTTTCCCAAAATATGCTTGACACCCTCCTGTAGCCCCCCCCAGTTCTGAAAGACCCAGCTCCTTCCAGCTTCACCCCATCAGCAGCATTCAAGGATGCAAGGGAACCAGATGAACATGGGTGAGGGTCACTTGCAAACATCCCTCTGGTTCCTGTACAAATGGCATCCGAAAGGCTGACATCTCTAAGCAGACTCAGCTATTCCCAAGGCAGCAGGGTTCCTCTCCAGCTTTCCTTAGGGAATATGACATATAAGGCCAGGTCAGAGACACCTCATTTTGTTTCCAAGCTCCATCAGTCAGATACTGTCATGCTTAGAAAGCCAAATACATTCAGTCATAGGGATAGAACAGCTTGTGTATGTGTAACCAAATAATATGTACATTTGCATTAAGTATCAGCAACAATGTCATTGCCCTATATATGCAAACACTATACCTATAAAACTAAACAATATATATTCACTTAATCATCTCAAGGACATTCACAAATGAAAGCTGTGCTAAATGATTCTTTTATTTAAGTGGTTAAAAAAAATTGCTCAGTAATACCACACAGAAAGGAACCAACATCTACAAATGCACCTCACGAGATGAGTTTTCCAAGTTTGAAGGAATTGCCATAGTTTCACCAGTTCTCCCCCTCGGAGCAGGGCTAACCAGGTTCCTGGCAGGTGTCCCTGCTGGCTGCGTGCTCTAAAAACCAGGCTGCAGAGTCACTTGCTGCTTATGTTGATAATGAAATATTCAGTGGGCCAGAAAGTGGGACAGCTTCAACAGGGGAGACCAAGAACAAGCAGTCTCCACAGAGCTAGAGAAGTTAGAGCTCTCCCTGTTGGTTATTCTGGTCTCTTATTGTACCAAATAAGTACATTCTGATGGAAAGTTGTTTGGCAGAAAGGTAGCATTTGGACACATATTCCCCCTCTTCTGACAGGTCCCAAGCTCTCACTGGAGCAGTTTCTGAACAAACTGCCCAAGTCCTTGATCCGCGGAGGACAAGTGATCGACGTCCGGGACTCGATCAGAGCAAGGCTGCAGGTACCAGCAGGCCCTTGCGGGGCTGCAGGGTGCGGGTCCCGGCGCGCCGTGCAGCCCCGTCCACCTCCTCCCAGGACTTGCTGGGCTCTCTGTAACCTGGTCCCTCCCTCCCGGGCTTTTTGGCACGGTTTGCCTCACTGCAGAGCTGACACTCACCCGTCTGCTTACAGGGCTCTGATGGGGCGCAGGGAGGAGAAGTGATTCAACTGGAGACCCCTCAACTGGCTGCCCTGAAGAGGTGCAGGTTTGGCCCCTCTGTGCCACATTGGGCTCTTGTTCCCCTCCTGTCACTGCAAGTCCTTTCATGAGGTCAAGCTGAGGGAGTAAATGGACTTGCCTCTTTTTGCTCCTTTTATCTTCCCCCGGGAAGCTAACGAGCAAGCAGAAGGTCACACTAACAGCGCTTTTCCACTCAGAGTCTTCTGGGCAAGATAGGACCCAAATAGCTAATGAAAAAAAAAAAGGCAGATTAATTTTAATCAAAAAAGTAGAGCAAAGTACTTACCAAACAGCTCTGACCTAAAATAAATAAATAAAAGGCCAAAAAAAAGGCAACCTTCTTTGCAAGATACCTTCAAGCACTGAAGGCAAAGCAGCAGCTTGGTCTGTGGGTCAGCCCGCTTGCCTGCAGCGAGACAGGGCTAAGCAGGCCCTGCTTCCCCATTTATTCAGATCTCCCTGGAGTGGGAGATGCCCAATGCCATCCATGAGATAAAGCTCATGATCTGCTGGGGGCAGAGCCCTCGTTCCCCAGCTAACCGTGTGCTCTGACTTCCAGGGTAAAGGCAGCTGAAGAGGCTGAGCCTCCTGCCGCGGGTGTCTGCACTCTGCGGATCAAATCTGAGAGCGGGGAGCAGACGTACATTGTAAAGATGCTCTTCACAGAAACCATAGGGGACTTGCGCCAACACCTCACCCGTGCCAGGTAGGTCTAGGACGGTTCTGGATGGTCATGTAGCTGCTGCTGTAGGCCCTGGAGCTGCATTTCAGACAGATCCATAGCAGTTGAGCAGGGCTCAGGGTTAGTCCCAGATGCCAGGAATCCTCTCCTTCTTTGGCTCCTTCTAACAGCCTAACAGCAGAAGTGCTTTTGAGGAAACCCTTTTGGGATCAGACTCTTCCATCAGATTATTAAGCCCCCCACCTCTGCCAAAACAGACAGACAGAAGCATCAGCGGAGACATATCTCTTGTCTTCTCGGAATTCCCATCTCGCCTGGGTCCAGCACTGGCTTCCAGCTCTCAGGAGCACTCACCTGACTATTGCCACTCTTCCCCAAGGTATTTGCACAGCCAGAGGGCTGAGCTGCAGCCTTCAACTTCGGTGACAGACCAGCTGTGGGGGAAACCATCTTTGGCTCAGTCAACTCTCTCCCAACACATTCAATGATGCCCAAGGGCCTCAGAAATCCTTTTTGGGGCAGTTTTAGGCATCCGAGGGGATACATTTGCACACCTCCTTGCCCCGCTCCTGTTGTGGCCTGCAGCCCTGGCCCTGGTTTGGGGCCCAGGATGAGCTCATCGCTGTTGGGATGTAAGCAGGTCCTTCCCTGCTGCAGCTGCACGGGCTGAAACTGCTGCTCTGGGCCTCATTATTCACAGTTAGGACGAGCAGCCCTTTTTTTTTCTGCGTGGCCTGTGCTTGTAAAACACTCTCTCCCTTTGCTCTTACATAACTGCAGCTGGATTAGCTAGAGCAAAACCTCCGGGGGATCCTGAGGAAAAACTGCGCTGTTCTTTCCTAGGGGTGGAGACTCCGAGTCATACGAGATCATCAGTACCTTTCCCCAGAGAGTGTACGTGGACAACACCCAGAGCCTGCAGGACTGCGGCCTCACCCCCAACGCCTCCCTGCTGCTGCGGGAAAAGGCCCCTTCCAAAAAGGGGGGACGGGGCTGCAAACAGCTCAGCAGCTTCTAGCAAGACGGTTCTCGTTCCAGCTGCTCCTCCTGTGAGGACTGTGCTGCTCGCTGCCAGAGGAAGGAGGTGCCTTGCACTGTTAGCTGAATTATATCCTCCCCCTGAGCTGGGAAGGGAGAGGGCAGAGTTGTCTCTCTAGCTTTCATTTCGTAGGGAGGAGCTCGGAGGCAGTGGTTGGGCCTCTCCCTTGGGCAGAGGTGCCACATGCCAGGCCCGGTCCTGCTGCCCGGTGGGCAGGTGTTTTCCCTGAGATTGGGGAGCTCCAAACCCATCGGGGCATTTCTGCCGCGTGGAGCTACACCAGAGGCTGCGGCACTTACGTCTACTGAAGGTTGGATGCGCTGAATCTCTGCCAGCTTCACCCAGGCACTGCACAGTCACTTAGCTGGGCTCAGGGCTACTGCAGTGCAGTCGTACCTGGGCAGCACAGACCAACAGCCGGCGTCAGGCTGTTCCCTGCACACCGCTGCTCCCCCGAGATCTCTGCTGCACTTACATGGAGAGAGAAGCAGGCTCAGTCAAGCAACTGGCGGTGCAGCTAAACCCCGACGCCTCGAGCCATCGAAACGTTGGGAACGGGGCCGGGCTCGATCTGGTCCTGCTGCTGCGTTTCCTGCCCGCGGAGAGCCCCTGCCCGCGGTCACCGCAGCTGCGGCAGCGCTGGGCCGTGCACCGCTGTGCAGTGCAACAGGACACCGCGTCACCGGAGAAGAGCACAACCCCGCACCTCTTCACCAAACCCCCTACACAACAGCTCCCGTCCTCTCCCGTGGGCCGGGGCCAAGCTCTGCAGCCCCTTCCTCAGCACCTGCTTCCTGGTGCAGCTCCAGCAAGTTCCTGCTCGACTCCTACCCTGCAACGCTCGCCCTCGCGCAAGGCGGCACCTCCTGGCAGGTTCCCTTCCAGCAGAGCCCAGCACAACCCAGCCCTCATTAAGGCCTCCTGAGAAGCACCTATTTAGTTGCAGTTTCCACCTCCACTGCATTTCAAAGGAGTAGTTAGCCCTGGAAGAGGACAGGGTGCCCGGAGCACTTGCTGCAAGAGCTCAGCTTCCCCGAGCCCTTCTCAGCAGGGCCCCTCTCAGCGGCTGGGCCGCGCACAACTCGACCACGGGAAGTGGCACCAGCAGCAGCTGCTTCTGCAGGCGCCTGCGAGCAGTGAGTCAGTCTCAGAGCCAGACGTTTCCTCCTGCGCCGGCTGTGTCACGCATTGGGTGCACGCAGGGCACCCTCCTATCCCCCAGCTGTGAGCTGCTCTAAGCCCGGCCATGTCAGGGTTGAGCTGGGGTTGGTCTTTTCCCTCCCCACAACTGCTGTTCTTACCACACACACATTTGGGGAGTCACTACTGAACTGCAGGGTATTCAGGCAAGTCCTTGTGAGCATCTGATGAGCAACAGCAATTTAAGGCGTTAAGATCGTTCTGCAGAAACGAGCGGAGATCAAACTGCAGGAACGAGTGCAACCGACTCGGCTCCTCCAAGCTGGAACTGACTCGGAATCGTTACATAGGACAATGTTTAACCTGTAGTCAAAATAAAATCAGTTTAAAAGAAACCCACGAACGAGTATCACCGTGAAAGGTACAGTAACGTTTAATAGCATCTCAGAAGACAACACTGGTTATAAACGTGCTTTTTTGGCAGGAAAACAAAATGCACTTGGTCCAGGTTGCAAAAAGCTATCTCAAAAAAAGGAAAGATAAGACAAGACAGCTGGAGCCTCGGCTGGTCTGCATCAGCCCCGAGCCGGTAACGCTCGCAAGGGAGTCGCAGCACCACGGCAGGGCGAGGGCAGCGCGGGCCCCTTGCCACCACAGCAGCCCGGCGGGTGACACAAGCCTCAGGCTCCCAGAGCTCATCCGCTCCATGGTGGGCGGTCAGACGCCACCTTTGTGCAGTATTTCTGCATTGAATTAACGCAAACAAACAAACAAACAAATCAACTTGGTCGCCATAATCTCGGCAGCTCAGATTAAGGAGGAATCGAGGCAGCAGGATTTACGCTTTTAACAGCAACCGGGAGGAGTGGGAAGTAAGAGGCAGCCCCAGGCCCTTCCCTAGGGGAGCAGAGGCTCCCGGTGGAGGAAGGGGCCGCTGGCTGGCCGCCCGCGGCCCGGCCCCAGCGACCCGGCCCGCTGCAGAGGCACTGGAAGCTGCGCGAGCCCCGGGCCGCCTCTGTCCCCAGGCGACGCGCGGCGAGCATCGCTCTTGCTTTGGAGCCCTCCGAGAGGACGCGGGGCTGAGGCTGGAGGCAATTGGAGAGAGCTGCAGTGAGAGTTTTGGTCACGGGTTTCCCTGTGCTGGGAGGCAGGTCGCGGTGCCAGGACGGTGCTGGCACCCGGGAAGGGGAGGTGGTGGGAGACGAGGGCACTCGGGAATGCCGGAGGAGTCCAGGACGGGAGCGGGGCTGTGGCTCACGCCAGCTTCAGGAACTCCTGCAGGGTGTTTTGTTCCACCGCTTCCACAAAGAGCTCGTAGTCCTGCGGAGAAAAAGCCACACGGCTGCTCACAGGGCAAGAAGGGCGCAGCCCGAGCGCTGGCGGGTGCCGGTCCCCTCTGGGGCGCGCGCCCAGCACAAACAGGCTCACGGCGCGGGCGCCAGTCGCTTGCGCAGACGGTGACAGGGCTAAGGGTGGACACCCCCGGGACACGGCCCTCCACGCGCTGGGTCACCCCGGCTCGTGCTGCGACCCTCCCAGCACCATTTCGTGCAAACCACAACACCCCAAGCGCACACTAACCCCCGAGGTGCTTAGCGTGGGCACCGCGCCAGAAACACGTTTGAAAAAGCACCTCCACGCTCCACTTTTAGCGAGGAAAAGGGGAACGCGGATTGTTCCCCCGTGCCGAGGCTGCCGGTGCCTGCCGGCAGGCGCAGCGCGAGCCTTACCCCGCAGTAGTGGTCTCCGTTGACGATCTGGGGCGGGATGGCTTTGGGGTTGCCTGCCTTGGCCCTCATTTCCTCCCGGAGCGCGTTGTCCTGGGAGATGTCCACCAGCTCGTACTTGATGTTCTTCCCATCAAGGATTCTGGTCACTTCGCTCTGTTGGGATTTGATCTGGAAGCCGGGGGAGGGAGTCAGGTTATGGGGACAGGGGCTGGAGGGGCACCCGCCGCCGCGGACACGCGGAGCTACCGGGGGTCCCCCGGTGTCGCCGGGGCTCGGCTCCGCGCGGGGAGCCGGCGGCTGGCCCGGTGCGGGGCCGCGCTCACCTCCCGCGAGCCGGTCACCGACGTGCTGTAGACCTTGAGCGCGCTCATGGCGGGTGGCGGCCGCTCCGTGCGCGCTCCCGCGAGCGCGGCAGCGGCGGAGGGCGGCGGCGCCGCACGTGACTGCGGGGGCCAATGGGGCGGCGGCGCGCGGGCATGCGGCGTGCGGCGGCCCCGCCCCGGGAGCCGGACGCGTCTCTCCCCTCAGCGCGTCACCCGCGGCGCGGCCACACAGACCACAGACAAGCAGCAGGTCGGAGCCTTTGCCGAAGCGTTGTCTCAAGCTGTCACTGAGATCAAAGAGGCTGCGACAGAGAACGAAGCAGAATTTATTTAGCAATCCGAGTATTTAAGAGGAGAGCTCCCGGAGAAGGGGCCCGAACAAAGCGCGAGCGGCTGCTGCCGGGTGGGCGGCAGGGAAAGCGCCGGGTTCCGCACAGCGGCACGAGCCCCTGCCCTTCCAAGGCCGGAATGACCTTCCCGAGGGAGCCGGCGCCCGCGGCTCTGCCCCCTCGCAGGGGCTGCTCGGGGCACGGCGCGCTCTAGCACATGAAGGCACTTCAGATACATCCACTCCCTCCCCAGCCAGAATCGAAGCCCTGTTCAGAGCGTTTTCTCAGGGGGATGAAGGGTTTAAGGCTTCTAGGGTAACAGTGCTCAGGAGGGGCATTTCCAGAGTCTTTTAGTGTCACTTGATTCCCCGAATTCTGTTGACTACTGCAAGGCTCTGGATGCATTTACCTGAGCAGAGGTCCTGTTCCACAAACGGCTACACAAGCGCCCACACACACAGGGATAAAACTGGTAGCACCTTGATAAAATTAGCAGTAGTGTTAAATCCACAAATAGTCCCTGAACACTTCTGATAAACTCTGCGTAGATCCTGTGTGACTAATAAGGCCGGAGCATTATCAGAAAGACCAGGGCATATTTTCCTCCTCACGTTGGTTAAAACTGTCACATTTGCACGTCCAGAGTATGCCAAGCCCGGAAGGCAGTTCAGAAATCACCTCCCAGCCCCAGAGACCGTATCAAGTCCAGCAAACACAGCACAAACACATGCCACTTGATCAAAGCAGCTGCAAAGCCCAACACCAAAGTCCAAGCGATGCAGTTAGCCAGGCAGCAGCTCAACACCTCCGGCAGCCCCCCTGACTTCTCATGGATAAGCCACGCGTCTTGGACCCCAGAAACGGGACGGTAAAGTGCTGAATCAGTTTCATTCGTAGGAGCTCTGGTCTCCTCAGGGTTTCAAGTCTTTGTTTCCTGTCCTACTTTGGGGGGAGCACATTCTTTACTGGGTGATGCAGTTGTCCCCCATGTCCTGGGCGTATCTGTCAGATATTGCAGTCCTTAAGTCCTCCACCTCTCTGTGAAGCTGTTTTACCTCCGACAGTTTTTTTGCCAGTATATCAGGGCTCAGCAAGTCGTCCTTTTCCTTCGCCGAGTACTGCACAGCTGTGGAGTCAGAGAAGGGAGACATCTCAGACGTGCAATTTTGAGCAAGGGTCCCACACATTTGCAAATGAGCCAGAAAAACATCAAGACACATTTGCAACAGAGGCACCACTTAACATGCAGTTATTACACCAAGGAAGCATCAATTTTTAGAGCTTGCTAGCCACAACAGAAGGTTCAGGATACCAAAAAGATGAGAACATTGTATCCACATAATACAGGTGTTACTTAATGCTATCTCAGCACATTTGCTAGGCTGTCACTCTGCACTTACAGCGAATGCCCAGGAGCAGGGAGAGGTTGGGATCCTTGCCCTGAGCCCTCTGAGTCACAATGCTGAAGACAGACTGCAAATCCTGCAGACAAGTGGCCAGCTCCCCGTGCAGCTCCTGGGCGAGCTGGGCCGCCTGCCCCGCCAGCGGCTGCGTCAGCTCCGCCTGCCGGAGGCGCTCCTGGAGGGTCAGGTTCTTCTCGATGAGATCCTGGTTCTGCACGGAAAGCTGGACAAGGGGTCACAGATGATTAAGTCACTCGGTACAAAACTATCAGGCTCAAAGCAACGACTCGATGACGACGGGAGCACCGAGGCCAGGAGGGGCAGGTTTGTGACTGCTGACGGCTCTCCAGACTCCCGCCAGACGAACAAGGAACAATCCTACAGGATGCGAGCAGCCAGGTTTTCCTGCTCCCACAGCAAGCACTCACAACAAGGGCCAATGCAAGGGAAAACCTTCTAGGTTGCACCCCAATCTCTCGCCCTGATACAGGCCATCCCTTCCCCAAGGGACTGTCACGGAGCTCAGCTCCCTTCAGGCTTCTGCCTGAGGCCGAGTCCCATCCTGCAGCCCGGTTTAGGCACCTGCTCAATGTGTTGCTGCCCTCCCCTGGCCAGTTCCGTGCTCAGCACCACAAGAGGCAGCCCCAGCCGGAGTCTGGGGCAGAAAGAGTGTCAAGAGGGTCCCTCTCCTCCTGCTTCTGAGCAGAGGAGAGCTCCTTTCAGAACACCGACAGGGCAACCGATCGACAGGAGACGCTGAGCTGCTGACTGCAAATTAAGACAAGGACAATTTGTTTTTTTCAACTGCAGTGCTCTGGCACTCAAACTGTGCCCATGCTCTGACCTCTTTCACAGCCGTGCGGAGCTGCTGCAGGGCGTTTTCTCTCCTCATCGCCTCCTCTTTCAGAGCTTGGCTTGTCCCCTCTTCCTGGGCCACCTGTTCTTCCAGGTTCTGGAACAGACCGTGGGAAAGTAGTAAGTCTAATTCATTATTAAGTTCTAGATCCCTCCACAACAGCCTCTCACCTTTACTTGCAAGGACAACTGCTCCATCTTCTTCTGCTGTTTGTCTGCAATCTGGAACCAAAAATAGAGGCCACTAAGAACAGTCCACACCGACTCTTTCCATGATATCGACAGGACTTTTCCTTCAGGACAGTTCCCCCTCTCCTCTCTCTCTGCTGCCCATTTACTGCTTAATTTACTTCCTGTTAGCAGAGAATGTTAATGTCCTAATGAAATGTACCTGATCAAGGAACCACTAGAAATCTCAACTATAAAAAGGTAAGTTACATTCTTGTGGTTTTCCTCCCCTTTTCTGCATTTAGCAGCTTCCCTGCAATGAAGTGTTCAGGGATTACTCTAGGATGGCATGGTCACCATACCAACAACAGCTCTTAAAACCCCTCAGTTGGCAGTGTTGGGGACAGCTCTTTCATTGCAGTTGTGACCACCTGCAAATGTCAAAGTCCTTGATGGCATTTTAGTGCCCGTTGCGACTCAGTGGAAGGGGAGGGGGGAACACCAGAAGTGGTAACTCCACACAACTCCAGCTGTTACCTTCCTGAGGCACTCGCATTCTTTCTTCAGAGAATCATTTTCTGCTTTTTGCTTCTCCCCATCATGGGCAGGGAGGCCTCTCTCCACATTCTTTACAGACTGCTGCACCTTGTCCTGCAAGCTGAAATTAGCCAAAAACCATGAGAAAAGCAGGGTGCCTCCCCTGAATAGAGTACAGCAAAAAGTGACATACTGGCAGTCTCAAAGGCTGAGAGAGCTGGGTCTGTTCAGCCTGGAGAAGAGGAGGCTGAGGGGGGACCTGATCAGCGTGTATAAATACCTCAAGGGAGGCAGTGAGGAGGAGGGGGGCGGCCTCTTTTCAGTGGTGGGCAGGGATAGGACTAGAGGAAATGGCTTCAAACTGAAGCATCGGAAGTTCCACAGGAACTTAAGGAAGCATTTCTTCACTGTGAGGGTGACAGAGCACTGGAACAGGCTGCCCAGAGAGGTTGTGGAGTCTCCTTCTTTGGAGATCTTTAAAACCCGCTTGGATGCAGCCCTGTGCCACGTGCTCTAGGTGACCCTGCGTGAGCAGGGGGGTTGGACTCGATGACCTCTGAGGTCCCTTCCAACCTTCGGCATTCTATGATTCTATGATTCTATGATTCTATGGCAGTCTGCAGCAACCCCACAACTGTACGCTGCACGGTTCTGTTGTGCAAGAAGCTACAGTTGAAAGCAACAATCAAAGGACACACGCAAACTCAGGTGACAAATCTTGGCTCCCTTCCTTTCAGAAAGTAACAGAATGGTTGAGGCTGGAAGGGACCTCTAGGGATCATTTAGTCCAACCCCCTGCTCCAGCAGGGACACCCAGAGCACGGGGCACAGGGTGGCGTCCAGGTGGGTTTTGGAGACCTCCAGAGAAGGAGACTCCAGAACCTCCCTGGGCAGCCTGTGCCAGGGCTCGGGCACCCTCACCGTGAAGAAGTTCTTCCTCATATGGAGATGGAACTTCCTGTGTTTCAACTTACACCCATTGCCCCTTGTCCTGTCATTGGCCACCACTGAAAAGAGTTTGGCCCCTTCCTCCCTACATTCCCCCTTCATGTATTTATACATATTAATCAGATCCCTTCTCAGCCTTCTCTTCTCCAGAGAAGAGTCCCAACTTACTCAGTCTCTCGTACGAGAGATGTTTCAGTTCCCTAACAATCTTTGTTGCCCTCCGCTGGACCCTCTCTAGCGCACTCCGAGTACACAGTACTCCAGGTGCAGCCTCACCAGAGGAGAGCAGAGGGGCAGGATCCCCTCCCTCACCGCGCTGCCAACGTCCTCCTGATGCGGCCAGACGCCCACTGGCCTCCTCGGCTACGAGGGCACTGCTTCCTCGTGGGCAACTTGGTGTCAACCAGGGCTCCCAGGTCCCTCTCTGCAGAGCTGCTCTCCAGCAGGTCAGCCCCTAATCTGTATTGATGCCGGGGGTTATTCCTGCCCAGGTTCAAACACCTGGATCTGCTCCTCCCCTTCACTCTTCGCATGCAGAATTTGAACATAGGGCTTGGGTGGGAGCTCACAAAAATGACAACAAATCCAAGGTAACCCAGTTCTGACAGGTGGGACAGTGGCAGTGATGAATGACCCCTGTGCCAGTGCTGAAACTCTTCTAGTGCCAGGATGGAGCTCTCTCCAATCCTTCAGTCCTTTACCTGCACACAGAAGAAAGAAGCTCCAGTTCTTTACGTTTTTGTGCTTCTAGCTGCATTTCTTGCTCCCTGAAGGCCGTGCGGATATCTCCCAGCTGTGTTTCCAGTGCCAGCACCGTCTCCTGCAGAGACGTGTTCTTCAGTTCGGATTCCTTCAGCTGCAACAAAGATTATCACAACACTTCAAAGACCTCCCAGGGGTTTCACCACACACAATTCAATTGCACTCACAGTGCAGTTTTCACTATCCATGTAACAGTTGTCAACTCTAGCTCAGAACATCCCTCCTTCCAAAAGCACACACTGCAACTTCACTTGTTTACTTGTGCCCAGGAGATTATTTACAGCTGTAGAAAAAACATCTGAGTAAGTATCTAAGGAGTTATCAGCACTCCTGGAAAAAAAAAGGTTTTTACCTTCTGACTCTGTTTCTGGTGGTCCTCAAGAGTTGGGAGATCAGCCAGGTATCGCTCAAGAGTCTCAATTCTCTGTTGTCTCTCCCTGCTTTGCTCGGATTCCTTCTGGCATTTCTTTTTCAGATTATTAATGTGCTTGTCTCTTCCCTTTACCTGCAAAGACAGTTAGATAGAACTTTTTGTTATAATTGTTGTCCATTCTTCAGTCCAGTAGTGCTGTTTGCATATGCCCATTCAGTCATCTGTACAGTGCTCATCACCAAAATACAAGATCATTTTGCCTCAGCAGCATTTCAGCTCTCTTTGGCTAACACAGGCTTCTTTGGTTAAAAGAAGAGGTCTTAAACTACTACTAACTGCAAAAGGGAGGGTTTTTGCTTATAGACAATGAAGTGGGAGAAAGGAAGATATCTCCAGAGCAATGGCATCCTACCCTTTCTTCTTGTTTCTTTAATTCCTCCACATGTTTCTGCACAGTTTCCTTCAGCGTCTCCCGGATCAGTTTTGCATCCACCTCTGCAGCAGCCAGTTTTCTCTCCAATTCAATCTTCTCTTTACCGAGAGATTCAGTCTTCTCTGTGAACTGCGCTCGCAGGAAGGTGTTCTCCCGTTGCAGCTCCTACGGAGAGTCAGTCTGAATTCTGTCCCTCAAAAAATAATCTTATCCTGTACAACCCTCCTAGTCAGGAAATGCCTCATGAGATATGTCAGCGCCAGCGGATTCAAAATATATTTCCCACTGACGTCCCATTGCACCCGATTACCTGCAATCTCAGCATATAGACATCTCCATAGGGTGCTGGGGGAGCGGGGCAGCCAAGGAGGGCGCTGTGAACCTGCAGTTCACTTTCCCGAACTTTCTGCTCCAACTGGGAAATGTGCTGTCTTTGCCTGTAGAAGACATGTGTAGATAACAGACTGTTCTCAAGTGTACGTCTTGTTTCTAAGGCTAGCAGGGAACGTACACAACCAGCGGCACCACAACTTTTTATATTTAATTAATATTTAATTATTAATGCGTATTGAATTAATATTACGCATGAGAAGGTGACAAGCACAAAAGGAAGACAACTCAGAACTACTGCAGAGAAATAATTCAGAAAATACCTGGTTTTGCACTTCCACAGTTCTGCATAAACCTTCTTTCCCTCATGCTTCTCCCTCAACAGCAATCATACCTAAAGCAGCCTTTCACAAAAGCTTATGGACCACTAACATTACATGTGAAGTGTTGTTTGACAGCTCAAATTCACCAAAGAAAAGAAAAGTTTATTATAAAGGTCTCCAAGAGCTCCCTAAAGGTTCTCAAGCAAGCAGGCAGCAGTTTCGAGATTCCAAATATTTGTGATGGAAATGGAAGTTATGATTCACTATAAAACAGGAAAAGATATATAGCTGGGGGGGAAGGAGCAGCGGGGAAGAAGAGAACAAAAAAACCACACCCCTGTACTCAAAATTATCTACTACTTCTAAGTTCTTCTTTATGGGGAGGGAATCCAAAGGGCAAAAGGGTCCCTGAGACAAGAGCCTTCCTTCATATTTTCATAACCCTGCCTCTTCCAAAACAAAATATTCTGGAGCTCTTAAGCCACACTTCAGTGTCAACCTCTCACCTGTCAATGATGAGCTCCTTCTCCTTCAGGAGGTTTTCGTTGGTGTTCAGGATATTGATCCATTGGGTTGGATCAGCTGAAGGCACCGGAGCAGGACACACTGAGGGATGGTGGCAAGCAGCTCCATTTTGTAACTGAAAGAGGAGACAAAATAAGGAGGGAGAGGTTTATGCTCCACAGAGGTAACTGCTACATTGCTACAGCTATTTTGCACACTGTGTGCTCATCTGCATGCCAGGACGTGGCTATTTCAGGCTCTGCTGATGTCTGAGAACAAGTAACTTTGCCCAAGCACAAATGGAGATTAACAAATAATTTTAGATCACCGCACTGTCTCACTGGAAACAATCTGTCTCCATTGGCATACAGCTGTATGAGAGGTGATAAACAAACTGTTTCCATCTACTAACTTGAAGATAATTTTATGTTTTTTTTTCCCCAAAAAGGCTATCTCTACATACAGAATAAAACTATCCTACGAAGTAGAGAGTTAACAAGTTCTTGCTGTATGTTTCTTTTGCAGTTTCTGGTGGACAGGATATTTCCCCTCATGGTCTGAGTTACTGTGCAGGGCTGTAACACTACCCAGCCTTGCGCTACATGAGCGGTGTGACACACGATACCCGTGACGTGGCCTGCTGTGAAAACAGCTCATTAAGAGACTTCCAGCACAAGACAGGGAGCAGCATGAGACATTTCCCCCCTTGCTTCCTAAGCCTTCAATGACTCACAACTCGAGAGGAGCGTTTCAGACTGAGCCACTCACACACGCAGCTTCCTACCTGCATTTGTTCTATTTGCAGCCGTACGCTCTCCAGCTGTTGTTTCCACGCTCCGAGTTCACAGACCCTCTCGTGGGGGTGCAGAGTGCAGGTTTCTTGCATCCATGCTCGAGATGGGGGAGTTGTAGGCTTTGAAAAGACACCGTTGGCCTGCAGTCCTGCCGGCAGCAGCCTGTTCCCGTTTGGCCATGCTCCGCTGTGGGCCTCGCACACCCCGTTAGCCCCTGCTGCTTGCTTGCTCTCTGGCAGCACTTTATACTGATCCTTGGCGGCCTCAGTTGTCCCGGAGTTCAGATTGAACTTCTGGAACCTGTGCAGAGGGTCAGCACACAAACTATCCAGAAAAAGAGACTGATTAAAGGTTTGCTCAATGGCGGGGGTGTTGAACTTCAAGGCATCCTCTCTTCGTAAGTGATCAGAAGTGGGGTGCCAGGACTGCTCTAAACCATTTTCCCCCGAAGCCCCGCAGAGATGCAAGAGATCTCCGGGTGGCACCTGAGATGACTTCCCAGCATTAAAGTCTCCATTTCTCATGAGTCCCAAAGCAGCTCCTGGCACAGCAGGTTTTGAAGTATTCTGTGAACTGCTCTGTTCGCCTGCTGAGCGGAGCTTGGAGGGTGAAGTACTCAAGGTAGAAGGCATAACATGAGCTGTTGGGATGGTCACTTGGGTTTTGATGGGCTGGAACGAGGAACCATTACTGGAGTTGCAAAAGTCTAGGGAAAGAAGCAGCAAGATGCTTTAATTATGATTCTGAAAATATTCTGACCTAAACCACCACCTCTTTGCTGAAAGGCTCTCTGCAGAATTTTTAAAAAGCAATTTTTTTCCCCAAAACATCTCATCATAAGCAGCAGCAGCTGACATAGAGCAGCAAGGCTAAAGTAGATCTGTGTTCTCCCTCACTACAAAGTTCAGGAGCCAGATGACACTTTCTTACCAGAGTAAATCACACAGAGAATTCAAGTTACAGCTCAGGACATATTTTTAAACTCTTGTTTTTTAAGCTACTCTTCTACAGTATAATCTTCAATATATTAAGATTATCCTTCTGCTTGTTTAAAAGTCACAGCCATTGAATTGAATAAAAGACTAAGACTTACTCAACTGAACACTGAGTTCTTGATTCTGTTCTGCCTGTCCCACAGCTCAGCAGCTCTGAACTGCAACCAAAGCTACCTGGAGCCTTCACTGAGCCCGTGATGAGCTTCAAACATAGCTGGACGCTACATCACCAAGCGAGTCATCTTCAAACTCCTCCAGGACTCTGGAGCAAAAGGGCTTTTTCTAGAGGTTGCAGTAATGGCTCTTGCCTCACTGCCACAGGAAGCGAGATAGAGCAGAGCACACACACCCCAACGTGAGCCTGTCCTGCCTGGCAAACACCAAGCCTGCCTACATGGAAATACAGGGTTATTCTTAGCAAGGCTCAGATTTCAATACAGCAACAGCAAGAGCTGCAAAAGGCAAACACCGCAATGCCTGTTGCTTCTCCTCCTCCTGACACGCACAACACATGAAATTCAGGTTTCTCCCAGATACCCCAACTTGTTTTCTTCATGCCTTTGGGTACAGACCCATCCCCACATGATGTTTCTCTAACCAGCAACAAGCCAGCAGGGTCAAATTTCCATGAGCTTGTAACCTCAAAGCACTGCTGTAAGGAGGAATAAAAGGTTACATCTTGAATCAAACAAACAAGATTCTGCAAAGACCATCAAACTACTGGAAAGCTGTCAGAATAAAGACACAGATCCCATCTCAAAAATTAACAGGAGAGGCAGAAAATCTTCTCAGACATTTCTTGGCTCTGCTTCCTGCACACAATGAACTCTCTTGCTGTCAAGCACTCACAAAACACTCACCATAACAAACACAGGAGAAAAGGCACAATTTAGTTTTCAGCTCCTCAAACCTGTAGTCCTAATGTCACCAGGAGGAACTTGACTTCCCTGACCAGCGAGTCGCATGCAGATGCTGGGATCAGGTCCCTGAACGTGGCTAGGGTCATTGTAACGACGTTTATAACTAATGCACTGACTTAAAAGTCAGTGTGGTTCAGCCAGCTGTCAGGGCTGCAGTTAAGCCTAAGCTCTTAGGAACAAGGCTACAAGACATAAACATTAGAAGGACAATCTCTCAAAGAACAGTCACCACGCCCCAGCTCTTAATACACAACTGGATGTTTTATTATCCTAAAAAAGGGTGGCTATGACACTTAATCATGCACTCTAACAATGTTTCTAAAAGCTTGTTTTTTTGAAAGTCTCCCTTTCAATTCCCACGTTATTAAAAACCACAGCTCATTTAAGACACATAGTACAGACTGAAATCCATTACAGTGTCAAGTGTATTATATCAAGGAAAACACAAGCTCCCTAAACGCTGAGGGGAGAAGCAGTAATGTTCTATGCCACCTTCACAAATGAAGATGAAAATACAGGTAGAAAGAACACTGGGCTATTTAATGGTTTAAATTCTTCAGTGGATGTCCAGAATTCACCTTCAGCGCTGTCTGAGCCGGAGGTCCCAATGCCCACGTCCCCGCTGTCAGCCCCACTGGAGCAGCGACTGATGCGACTCTGGAACTTTGCAGACAACATGGGTGTTTTCCAGTCAGTCTCCAAGAAATGGCTCTTCTGACTGGTACCAGGGTCTACGGAGAAAAAGCCCATGATATTTATGTTTTAGCCACCAAGGCTAAAGCCACCTCCTGCTTTCAATTCCCCTAATTAAGCCATAAGTAATCACCCTCTCCGCCTAGAAACAAACCGATCCTCTCCACACTGTTGCTCAGGAAATCTATTTTGCCTTTTCCTTTTGCAAAAGGAAATAGCAGCTAACATAGGGAAGCCAAACAATAGCAGGAGATTGGAAGTCAGGAGTCAAGAGCAGTAAACTGTACTCTTACTGACAAGCTGGGTTATATTAAACCCATTGATGCTCTGGTACTTAAAAAAAATGAGCATCAATGCTAGCACACAGCAATACTGATAATGGCAGAGATATTTTCATATCAAACATCAAAAACTCCTCTCATCAGTTGTCATTCAAGAGACAGATCTACTAGCAAGTGATACTGTGTCTCTGGACATTCATGCAGTTATTTTATTTTGCAGGAACAAGACTTAAAACAGCTTTAAAGAAAAGACAGTGCTTACCTGATGGATTGATCTGCTGAAGCCTCAGGTCTGCATGCTTCTCAAGAGCAGCCATCTTATCTATTCCTCAGCTAGAGGACAATAAATAAAAAGAAAAAAAAATCATATTTTAACAAGCTCTGTTGCTGTTATCCTGGTAGACATGGATCAGCAAGGCCTCATTCAAAAGATTCATCTTAATACAGCATTTTCATCTTTTCCAGAAACTACCTCTGTTTCACCCTTCCCATACTTAATCACTAAATATTTAAGTACTAAATCAACACTTTAAAAAGGCTCAGTTGTTGCATGTTTTCTCCATGCCTGGGAAGTGAGAAGAGCTCCCATTTGCAATATTCCTCAGGTATGCAGCTGTTCAGCAGAGCCTGTCAACTGGGGCATGCATTATACCCATTATGGTTATTTTTAGAGCATCAGTCACCATGGTATCTACACGCTGCCTCTGTGTCTAGAGAGGCTAAAAAATTTCCTTCATAAGTCTTAACGTTAAAAGTAGTTCATTTCTGCCCTCTGTAGAGGTCACTGGGCAACTACATCCACAAATGCAGCAAATCAAAGCAGCACTGCTGTACCATAAATGGCAATTATTATCTATCCAGAGCTTTAGTTTACTTTATCCGCTCATCAGAGTACCTCAGAGAGTGAATTTTCGGCCTCTGATGTGAATGTAATTTACAGCTCTCTTCACTGGGGAAATTTATGGCCTCTCTCCTCTCCATCAGTCAAACAGCAAATGCTCACGGGTGGCTCTCTGGAAGCCATTCACGCAGATGTTACACACTGGGAATGCAATAGGATAGAGAATGAAGCAGTGGTGTCATTTTACTCATATAGCAAGGCAGAAAAACATAGCTTTTAGCTAAATAAGGTGCTTGTTATATTTTCAGTTAGGTATGAAAACACTTCTTTTAAAAAATCAGTCATCTTCAACACTACAGGTAAGCCATTTTCACACAGAAATTCAAGTACACGCTGTTAAAAGACAAGAGATGAAACAACCAAAGCATTCACTTCTTGCCCAGCACTACCCTCTTACAAAAACCCACAGCCAAGAGCACACACCCCATCCTTGAATGGCTCCCTTACAGCAGCGGGATTGGGCAAATCCTGCAGGCAGGGCAGGAAGGCACACGTCCACACGCAAAAACGTGAGAAATGAGGATGAAAAGGAGAGGATTATGAAGAGAATGGGAATGATGGCTACAGCAAAAGCGAACAGGAGCAGGATAGGACTGCAGGAGGCTGGGGTAGAGGTAGGGGCAGTGACTCATCCCCTGGGGGGATAATTTGCTCCGAGGAAAGTGAGGGTTTGGCCTCAGGAGAGAGGGGAACCATGATTTGGTTCTAGAGGAAGGGGAGGAAAGAGAAGGATGGAGTTTTACCTCAGGAAGGGGAGTTTTATCGCAAGAAAAGGAAGGTTTACCTCAGGGAGGGGCAGCTTTACCTCAGGGAGGGGTCTCTGAGGGGGAGGAGAGGAACTTTAGGGCTCCCTGAAGGACAGGGGAGCCCAAGGGCTACGAGGAAGGCGAGCGAGGGGGCGGTAGGGGCTCGCCGGGGACAGGAGGAGCCCTGTGGAGCCCAGCCCGTTCCCCGAGGCGCGGCGCGAACCGCTCACCTGCCTCCGCCGCGGCGCCCGCGCTGCGCCCACGCGTCGCGACCGTTACAGCCGCGGGAACGGGCGGGGCGGGCGCCACGCCCCCTTCCTTTCCCTGCAGCCTATGGGAGGGCCGGCCCCTACCGTCGCCTCTCCTCATTGGCTCGCTGGCCACGCACATCCCCGCCCTTGAGCTTCGCGGCGGCAGCGAATGGCTGCCAGGGGAGGAAGAATGTCCATAGGCGCCACCCGTAGAGAGGGAGGCTGCCTCAAGCCGCGGCGCGGGCGGCGGGCTCCCGCGCGGAGCCACGCCCCTCTCCCTGAAGCCACGCCCCACTTCCCTAAACCACGCCTCCGGACGGTTGGTCACGCCCCCTTGGCCACTGGCGCGCATGCGCAGTGGCGCCCCTGGCCCTGTTGCGGGGCAACATGTCAACCCACAGGATCCCCGCACAGTTGCCCGGCCCGGCCCCCGCTGTCCCCCGTGGACACGGAAGCCGGGGCACCCCTCTCTAACCCCGCCTCCCGGTTCCCCTCAGCTCCCGGCACACAGGAGGGGTCTCTCATGATGGGGAGAGGCCGCCCAGGACAGTCCACAGAGAGCAGGACACGACCAGCAATGGCCAGCACAGATGTATTTACAGTCGGGGGAGCCGGACCTGGCCGTGGCACCGGGCAGGCCCACACCGGCCTCCTGCGCAGGCCCCCATGGCACCGGGGCACGGTGTCCTTGGGGAAGGTGTCACAGCGTCCATGGTGTCACAGCAATGCCCTGTCCCCGTGGGCACAGGGCTGACACAGACCACCTCTTGCACCAAAAGTCCGTGCTCCTGCCTTCAAAAACAACATAAAACCCCCCAAAATGCACCTCCCACCATGGCACGGGCCCAGGCAGGGCAGCCTCTCGGGCAGCAATGCGTTTCCCAACGGAGAGGTGTCCCGGGACGGGGCGGGCACGGCGGCTCCTCGCGGGGCGTCACGGTTCGGCAGCCGCCCGCAGCGGGCCGGGCGCCCCGGCCGCGTCCTGGCCCTGCTGCCGCAGCCACGACTCGCGCAGCTCCTGGTACAGCTCCTGGTGCTCTTCCTTCCAGCTCGCGAACTTCTCCGAGGTGAGCGCGCTGTCGCCGAGAAGCTGCTCCAGGACCTGCAGCTCCGTCAGCTTGGCCTGCGGGGAGGGAACGGGGCTGGCGGGGGGTCCCTCGTGGCCCGGGCTCGGGCTGGGGAGGGCTGGGGGCTCCCACCTTGAGCGTGCTCTGCAGGGCGCGCACCACATGCACCTTCTCGTTGATGAGGGGGTTCTTGTTGCGCTTGATGAAGGATTTGCGGCACTGCTCCTCCGTCAGGAACCGCTGCCTCCCAATGAGGGACACCCCGCCTTGCTTCAGGCACTGCATGAGGCTCTCCAGGTCCTCCCCGGAGGGGTCTGGGCAGCGAGAGGGGGTCACCACAGCGTGGGGACAGCCCCTGGCACAGCCCTGTGTGCAGCCCTGTCCCACCAGCAGCTTAGACCCAAGAGGAGGCTGGACCACAGCTCAGAACAAGGGTGAAGACACCCTAGCGCACGTCCCAGCAGGCCTGCAAGGGCTTGAGTGAATGTCCCTGCACTGTATGCATGCAAGACGATGGTCAAGAGTTTGGCTAACGGGGTTGGGGACCCCCAAGCACCACCAGCACCTACCCATGGGTGAGCAGGGCCGGGGGCTGCCCTGGGGGCTGCCGGCTGCGCTGCCGGGCTCGCCGCTGCCCGGGAAGAGCTGTGCTTTCTCTGGGGCGCTTTGCAGCCTCTTCTTCGGCTGGAGGAGACACGGGGCGGGGGGTGAGCAGGGTTCTACCCTCCCCTCACCGCCCCTGCTCCCGTGGTGCCACTCACGGAGTCGCAGCCCTGCCTGGGGGAGTCTTCGTCTGGGTCCTCGGCCTCCGTCTCGCTGTAGCAGTCTGGGGGCAGGACGGTGGCACTGGAGGGGTGCGGGCAGCCCCGGCCCGGTCCCCATGGCCCCTCCAGCTCTCCCAGGCCAAGCGCCACCACCCCGTCCTTCACCTCAGCCCCTCCAGGAGAGGCAGCTCCTGTCCTTCTCCCCCAGGTCACGGACAAAGCTCTGAGTTCCCCCATGCAGGAACACAACCGTGAGGCGTCACCGCCCCGGGGACACCGCGGGGCTCACGTCCCCCCCCCCGGGGGAACCGACCCCTTCTCCCGCCTCCCGGGCGGGCTGCACTTGCCTTCCTCCCTGTGCGGGACCGGCTGGTGGGCCAGCGCGTAGTTCGTTTTGGCTGTGATCAAGTGACTGACCCACCTGGGCGAGAGAGGGACAGTCACGGCCAGCCTGAGCCCCCCGCCGCAAGCCGTGGGACGGTGGCAGGAGCGACTCACATGCTCAAATCAGCCAGCGTTTCTGCGGCGAAGATGAAGGGCTTGTACGTCTCGTGGGAGAGCTGGAAAACACTGGAAGAAGCGAGAGGGGGCAGCTGCAGTTGCTGCTGCTTTTCCGGGACCACCAGCAACCTCTGGCTGCCCTAAGCCTCCTCCCAGCCTCTTCCATCCAGCCTTCCCCCTCCCAAACCAGCCCACAAACTTAGCCATTTTCCCTGACATTGGAGATGACCTGGATACGCTGTGGCCCTTGGCCACATCTTAGATAACACAAGGCAGGTTCTGCCCAAAATATGGCCCATCCTACTGGTATCTGACCAGCATGGGCATCACCTGGTGGGCTCTGCTGGCCGAGCGTGCTCCAGAGAGCATCCCGCCACGGGCAGCTGGGTGGCACAATAGCCACCTGACACCCACTCACTATTTCTTCTTCTGCTCCCGCGTGCTCTCCAGATTGTAGGTGGCCACGTTGATGAGGCCCGCGGCCTTGTCATCCTGCAGGAGAAGCACAGCAAGGTGCCCGTCGAGCCGTGCCGCCGGCAGCGCCGCGCGGGGCTCCCCGTGGCCCGGGCCGCACTCACGTTGGGGTGGTTGTACCAGTAGAGCGTGTGGCCTTTCAGCACGAACCAGCAGCGCTTCCACTTCTGCGCCATGAAGGCCACGTGGTCCTTCTTCTTCAGGAGCCAGCCATCGCAGTCCACCCGGCCCAGGTCCCGGCACGAGACCCGCCGGCGGCTCAGCCGCGTCGCCACTCCTGCAGAGACGGTGGGCACCGGTCGCCTCGCAGGGGCACGAGCGGCGGGGACGGCCAGCCCGCCCGCGGCCGCGCCGATGCCGAGCTCACCTTTTGGTCTGCGGCCCGTCTCGGGACTGTCCTGTGTGGGGAGATGGGAGCTGAGGGGGCCGACGGGGCCCCACGTGCAGCGGAGCCCCCCCTTGCCGGCCACTTTGCAAACCCCACGGCACCGAGCACAGCCCGGACCCTGTGCCGAGGGTTTTGTCTCTCTGTCTGGACACGATGCCCAGCCCGTCTCCACTGCTGCCCTTCCCCGGATCTCACCTCTCCGTGGAGCTGGCCGGGCTCCGCGGCTCGGGCTCCGGCACCGTTGCGGGGGCCGTGCGGGAGGCCGAGCTCCGCGGCGCCTGCAGCAGCGAGGGCGCGGGGCGAGCGCGGCCCGGCCGGCACCGTGCAGCTCGGGGCTGCCGCGTCCTCTGAAGCGCCTGCGGGAACGAGCCCGGAGCGCTCCCGTGCCAGTCAAGCTGCCGCCGGAGCTCAGTATCCCAAGGGAAAAACCACTTTCACTCCAGAGATCCCTCCCCGCCGCCACTTCCTACCGTCTCTGAGAAGTCCCTGCAGGAACTCGCCAGCCTCCGAGCCGGGCAGGCTGGAGTCCCTCTCGTCCTCCTCGTCGGTGGCGGGATCTGGCACCGAGTCAGGCCCCGATTCCCAGTCGGCAGCTGCGCTGCAGGGAAGAGGGATCCCTTGCGATAAAACTGCCCTCCTGCCGGGCCGGCCGGCGCCGCGGAGCAGCTCGCCCAGGCACAGGCGCTTCTCCCTCCCTGGAAAAGCAGAGCTGGACAGAGAGCGGCGGAGCCGCCGGGCACCGGCTAAACCGGCCCCTCTGCTTCTGCTTCCAGTGGGGAATCCGAGGCAGCGTCCGGCGCCTCCGGCCGCAGCTCGGACCGTTTGCCTCGGGCGGAAGAGGCGGCAGGAGGCACCGGCTCTGCGAGCGCCTTTCCATTCTGGGAGAGAAGGCTCACTGCTAAATATAGTCGCAACCCCCATTAAAATGTTACCAAGGGACTTAATTGCAAACAGAGCCTTTTTTTTTTATCCTTTGCTTAAGAGTCCTTGCAGCTCCCCAGGTCATCTGCACTGTTGTTCCGCAGTGGCATTCCCAGGCTGGGCTTTCCAGCCAGGAAGGGGCTCCTGATGCTCCCGGGGTGTCCTGGCTTACCTGGAACTCAGCGATGTGGGGCTGCCGGGACACTCGTTGCTCCGGATGCCAACAGGATCCTCCGCCTCCAACCCCGCTCCCTGTGGGACAGTGCATCAATCCCCACCTGTGTCCTGCATGGAGACACTCACCCCGGCACAGGGGGACACCCGCATCCCTCACCGGCGGCCCGGCAGCCTGCGGGGAGCCAGGGGGGCTCAGCAGGATCTTCTTCAGCACCAGCGTGGCCCCGCTCGGCCTCTCCTGCAGCTTCTTGGCCAGGTTGACGGGTGTCCAGCCCACCTGCGAACGGCATCGGCCCCGCGCTCAGCCACGGCCCCCCACACAAGGACACGTTTCCAGCAGCTCCGTGGCTGCATCCCAGCGTCCCGCAAAGCTCCGCGAGCGAGACGGAGCGGAGTCAGCGACACTTGCCAGGAAACATGAAGGGTGCGAGGGGGATCCCCAGCCCCAAATCTCCCCCTCCCGCAGCCGGGCAGAGGTTGGGGATCCCGGCTTGGCCCCGGACTCACCACGACCTGCTCGTTGATCTGCACGATCTCGTCTCCGGGCAGGAGCGGGGGCCTGTGCACGGCCAGCGCCTGGGGGCAGAGCGGGGGCAGCGGGAGCGAGCGTCCGGCGGCAGCCCCCCGGCAGCGCCCGCCCCGCCGGCCGGGCTCCACGGAGCCGGGTTAAGCATTAACCGGCAGGCCTGACCTCGTGGGCAGTGCTGGGCAGGAGGGCGCAGCGCGGCAGAGCCCGGTGCCGTGCTCGCTCCCGAGAAGGGCTGCACGGGCCAAGCTGTGCCCAGCAGGCCCCGGGGGCAGGACTGGGGCTCAAAGGGGTGCGTGGGATCCGGCCTGCTGGGCCCGGTGACATTCCCCACTGCATTCCCTGTGGATGTCACGGTGGCGGCAGCCCCCAACTCACCTGCGAGGTGGTGCCGGAGATGAAGTGCAGCCCAGAGCTGGTGGAGGTGACGTCCAGGTCCTGCGGAGGGGCACGGGGGCCGTAAGTGGCGCGGGGGTTGGCCGGGGGGCCGGGGGCGCGGGGCACTCACCAGCGGGGCGGCGGGCAGCGCCGGCGCCAGCCCCACACACTGCAGCACGGCTGTGCGGTCCAGCAGCGCCGCGGGGCTGCAGCGCACGATGCTCTCGCAGATGCCCGCGATGTGCTGGCACTGGGGGCGGCAGAGCGGGGCTCAGGGGGTGGGGGCACCCGTGGTGCCAGGGGACCCGCTGCCACCCTCCACCGGCACTCACGATGGGCAGGATGCGGCTCTCCCTCTCATCCGCCGGGCACTCCTGTGGGAAAGCAAGGCTGAGGGCATCCATGGGACCAGCTGGGTCCCTGGGGACACGGGGTCCTGTGCTGTGTCCCCCACGGGTGCAGGGGCTGTGGGTCCTGCCCATCAGGCCCCATCCCCTGCCTGGTCCTCGCGCCGTGCCCGTCCCCGGGGTGTCAGGGCAGCACGGCCGCCCAGCGCTCACCTCCTGCAGCGCCTCCACCAGCTCCACGCAGAGGAAGACGATGTCGCGGCTGGCCGAGTAGTCGTTCAGGGTGGAGAAGAGGTACCTGGAGCGATGGGCATGGACAACAGGGATCAGGGCGAGGCAGGAGGGACACCCAGCACGCATGGGTGCCCCTCAGCACGGAGCGCTGCCCCCTTCCCGGCCCGGACCTGTTGAGCCAGGAGAAGAGCCCCTTGGCGGCGCCCAGCAGCTCGGCCACGCAGGCCAGCAGCTCGAGGGACGGCGGCCGCGGCGCGGCCCCCGCGCGCCGCCCGCCCCGCGCCAGGCCCTGTGCCCGGCACGCCAGCGCCCGCAGCTGCTCCGTCAGCGTCCGCAGGCTGGTGCTCGCCAGCTCCTGGTCCTGGCGCGGGACAGCGCGATGAGGACGCTCCCGGGACGCGGTCCCCGGAGCGGGGCCGGCGGCGCGCGGGACACTCACCAGTGCCCGCAGCTGCTCCACGGCCTCCAGCAGCAGCTCCTGGTGGCCCAGGCGCCACACGCCCAGCGCCTCCAGCGCGGCCGCCGACAGCCGCAGCAGCTCGGCCCCCGGCAGCGCCCACGCCTCGAACGGGTAGCCCTGCACCACCGCGTCCAGGCCTGGCGGGAGGCGCTGCGTGGAGCCGGGACAGCGCGCGCACCCCGGCCCGCCCCCGCCCGGCCCAGCAGGGTGGCCCTGGCCGTGGGGTGCCACCGGAGACGGGGTGACACCGGCCATGGGGTGACGCGAGCAGTGGGAGCGGCGCTGAATTCCTCCCCAGGGCGCAGCTGGATGCCGGCGCCGCCTCCGTGCGCAATGAGTGTGCCAGGTCTCAGCACACGTCGCATTGGGGGCCCCTGGGGACAGCCCTAGTCCCCCCTGCCTTGCAGGTCGCCATGGCGAGGGGACAGCGCTGAGCCCCCTCCTTGTCCCTGCTACACATGAGGAAGTGGCACCGGGCGGGACTCTGTCCCCTCCCCAAACCGCTCCCCCTGCTGCCACCCCCGCCCCCAGGCCCCTGGCCGGGGCCCCCCGCGGGTGCTGGGGTGTCCCGGCCGGGGGCCGCTCACCTCGGAACCAGGCGGCCACCCGCGTGGGGCTCCAGGCGCCCACGGGCTCCATGGCGGCCGCGGGCCGGGCCGGCTGCTCACCTGCGCCAGGTGAGCGCCGCCCCATTGGCCCGCCCAGCCGCCGCTCACGCAGCGCCCGCCCCCCCGGGGACGCCCAGAGCCGCCAGGACCCCCCCACCCTGCTCTTCGTGGGGGCGGCAGAGCCCCCCTACGGCCCCCGCCTCAGTTTCCCCCTCCACAGGGCACCGCCACCAACGTCATCCGTGCGGGAACGTGCCCGGCCGCTGCGCCTCAGCTTCCCGCGGGCCATGTCGCCAAGGGGCGCGTGGCCCCTCATGGGCTCCCACTTTGCGGGGGGGACAAACGAGGTGCCAGGCGGCATCTTGCATCCCCGCAGAGCGGCTGCCCCGCGCCAAGCCCCGCTGGCCGCGCCGGAAAGGGCCCCGCGGGGCCGCGTCCCCCCCTCGGTGCCCGTGCGCTTGGGGGAGCAGCGCGCGCTGATTGCGGCTGACAGGCGCTCGGCGCCAGCGCCGAGGCGGCCGCGCGGGGCCCTGCACGGTGCCATTCGGGGGGTCCCGCGGCGCGGCGCCCTGCCCGCCGAGCGCCCCGCGAGGCCCCCGAGCCCCACAGGCCCTTCCTCCCGCCCGCCGCCCCCGCTCGTCCTCCCGCTGCGCCATGATCATCCGCCCGCGCCGCTTGACCCCGGGGTATTTTCGGCTGCTTCAGGTAAGGGTCAAGCTGAGACGGGGGGGGGATGTGTTTGTGGGGACGCCCCCCGGCACCACGAGCCGTGCCGTGTGCCATGCCTGGCCGTATCCTGGCCCCACAGAGAGCAATGGGGTGCCAGGGTGCAGCGCTGGGTGCCGGCACTGGAGGCAGAACAGGGGCAGTGAGAGCACCGACCTCAGAGTACGCTCAGCTCCCTGGGCTGCACAGCACGAGTATCTTAGGGGCAAAACCGCGCTTTTCTCCTTTAAATCCCTCCGTGTTTCCTATGGGCACAGTCCAGACATTCAGACAGGGCCCTTGGTGCTTCCAGGGCCCCCCTCCCTGTGCCAGGGTGGCTCTGCGTCCCCCAGCGCCCTCCTCTCCTCTCCTCTCCTCTCGCCCCGCAGGTGCAGCTGGCCGGGGCCCGGGCGGGCGAGCCGGGCGGGCGGCTGCTCAACCCGCTGGCGCTGCTGCTGGCGGCCGCGGGGCTGGGCCTCTCCTGCTACAGCGCCCGGCGCATGGCCGGCCCCGCCAAGGCCGCCCCGCCAAGGCCCTGAGCCCGGGCAGCCCCGCGGGCGCTCCCTGCATCCCTGCTGGGAGCCGCCACAGAGGACGGAAAGCCGCCCCGATCCTGACTCGGCTCCCCCAGGGACACGGTGGCGAGGCTGCCCCCGCAGCACAAGCTGCCGGACGGAGCTGCCACGAGCCTTGCCTCTTCTCTCGCTCCCTCCCGTCCCTCCCTGACCCGGCGCAGGACGCGCTGTCCCTGCGGCCGGCCCCGCTCCGAGCACCGCTCCTCCCTCCGCGCGCGGCACAAAGGAGGTCAGCGCCCGGCGCCGTTACGTAACGGCAGAGCAGGGAGCACCAGGACGAACACCAGCCTCCCACTGAGGCTGCGGGCGGAAAGCGGGACGCGGGCTTGGCTCCCGTCTGCGGATAGGGAGCGGGAATTGGATTGGCAGCGGGAACTGGATTGGCAGTCTCCACTGGGACAGACAGTCCCCCCGCAGGGGAGGCCCCGAGCTTCCCACCCCTCTGTGCACCCAAACCCTGCACGGCAGCGCGAAGCCACCCCTTGGCCCGATGCTACCAAGAGTTCCGCTCAGTCGCCTGGACAGCTCTGCTCAGCCCACATGCCAATAAACCTCTTCCTTGTGAGCAAAGCTGCTTGGTGTCGCTGCCTTCCTGCGGCCAAGGCCTCGGCTCGCCGCGGGACCGGCCCTCGGGCTCTCATTTCAGCACTGGGCAGTATCCGTTAAACCTGTTCTGCAGGAATTGGCAGCCCGGCAAGAGGTTGAGCAGGGAGGAGCTGTGAGCAGTGGGGTTGGTTCACCCTGTACACACAGCCCTGCTGCTCTCTGGCACCAGGCACCGCTGTCTGGGAGGCAGGAGCCTGGAAGTGTCCCCACATCTGCACCCCCTGCTACAAGGGAGCAGGGCCAACCCCCTGCAAGCCCAAACCAGGCAGGCGCAGCAGCGCAAGGAGCTGCTGGCAACAGATAAAAGGGCTTGGAGAGCAGCTGGTTCAAGCTCAGTCTTACCCCTGACTCTACCTTCCTATGAGGGCACGAGAACTGCGATGAGGCTGTCGCTACCACCTGGGAGACACTCAGGGAATATTCTTCCCTTTCAAGTCTCCTTCTTTGGAGATCTTTAAAACCCGCTTGGATGCGGCCCTGTGCCACGTGCTCTAGGTGACCCTGCATGAGCAGGGGGGTTGGACTCGATGACCTCTGAGGTCCCTTCCAACCTTCGGCATTCTATGATTCTATGATTCTAAGCATTCAAAGCTTAAAAGCAAGTGATGATGGTGAACCCCAAAGGGCAGCTGCCCTGGCTCTGGCAGCGCTGCCCCACGCCGCAGCCTGGATCGCATCAGCAAAGAACCACGCTCAGCACTGCCAGCCTGTCAGTAAATGCACTTTAATGGGCGACCTACAGGTGTCAACCTCTCACCCAAGGAGCAGAATCCAAACCCGCTATAAAGGCAAAGAGAGGAGCACACAGGTGAGCTAATGTTCGCACCAAGAAGCTGCCTGTCCCTTCCCCAGGAAGGAGAATGCACAGCCTGCTGCCAGGCACAGTTCACAAGCGCCCTCCCCAGCAAGGGCACCCAAGGTCTCCCTGGCTGCCTTTTCCTTATTAGCTTTTCAGCAAGGAAAGCTGCCAAGAGGCTGGGATAGAGCTCACTTTCCTCCCAGGGCTCAGTAAGAGGATCCCCTTTTCGCAGCGCTGTGACATGGGCAGCAGCAAACAGGGCAGCCCCAGCCCTTCAGCCGGCTGTGCTCAGCTCGACGCCTCCATCTCCACTTCTTCGTCAATGGGTTGGGTCCGAACTTCCACCTTCTTTGGTGGGATGTAGGATCCCATCCCGGCCGCTCGCTCCGCCTCCTCCTGGGTGTAAGGTTCCTCACTCAGCTGCTTCAACCTGAGAAGGCAGAACAACCTGATGAAATCAGATGCACAAGGCCTGATCTTCAACGGAATCTCCTCGAAAGAGCCACATCCTGGCAAAGCCAGGGCCACGGGGAGCCCGGGGGCTGCGGGGATGGGACCAAGCCGCCCGCGGGCACCTCGCAGCACCCCCGCGCCCCTCACCTCTTCTTGTGCACCTTGGACCTGAAGTGCTCCTTCATGCTGGTCAGATCCACGAAGTAGCGCCTAAGGGGGAGACACGGAGGGTCAGAGGGCTGCAGACAGGAGGGGGCGGCAGAACCGGCCCCTGGGGCGGAGGGATCCCGCAGGAAGGGCCCGTTTTCCCCGCACCCCCTCCCCGTGCACCCCCACCCCGGTGGCTCCCGCCGGTGACGCACGCGCAGTGCAGGCAGTAGAACTGGGCGCAGCCCGGCAGGTCGGGGTCGGGCTCCTGCCGCAGCAGGCGGGCGGCCGCGTCGGGCCGCAGGTCGCCGTGGATCTCGTCCAGGTCGCGGCGGCGCCGCTTGCCCTTGCCCAGGCGGCGCAGGGAGCGCGCGCGGTGCGCGCCGGTGCGCCGGCTGCTGCGCGGCGACATGGCGGCGCGGGGCGGCGGCGACGTCAGCGCCACGCGACGTGGCGGCGGCAGGCCACGCCCATAAGGTGCGGCAAACCACGCCCCCGTGATGCGGCAAGCCACGCCCCTACCGTGCGGCAAACCACGCCCCCATGGTGCTGCAAGCCACGCCCCCGTGGTGCGGCAAGTCACGCCCTCATGGTGCAGCAAGTCACGCTCCTGTGGTGCGGCAAGCCACGCCCCCGTGGTGCGGCAAGCCACGCCCCCGTGGTGCGGCAAGCCACGCCCCCATGGTGCGGCAAGCCACGCCCCGTGCGTCAAACCCCGCCCCCTAGCGCAGGCCGCGCCCACGCAGGAGCGCGGGAAGCGTTGCGTTCCCGCGTGGGCTCCGCGCCGCGAGGTCCCGTCTCGCCAAGCCACGTGGTTCCCCCCCCCCCGGTCTGGCCGCAGTAGGGGCCGTCGTGGCCCCACTCGGGGCAGTGCCACACGGCGTGGGGACATGGGGGCTGGTGGGGACAGAGCCCAGTGTGTCACCCACTCCCCCGTGGGGCGAGCCGCGGTCCCCACTCCCAGCACTGTTGTCACGAGTGGCGGTGGCCTCAGCACGGAGCTCACGGGGTGCCCGCGTGGTGGCCCGGCCACGGGGGCCGCATTGACCGCCTTACCCCTGCGCCATCAATAATCCATGGGGAGCTGCCACGCGCGGGGCGGCGGGGGGCACATCAGCCCCCCGGCCCCCTGTCCACGTGGGGGACAAGGACCAGAGCTGGGGACCGCGAGCGAGGGCGGCGGGTGGGCTGTGCTCGGGGCAGGGGTGCAGCCGTGGCGGCCTCCTCTGCCCCCCCGGCACCATCTCGGGTTCCTCTTTGTGCAGCCCCAGCGGCTCCTGCAAGTTTAATGAAGACACCGGATCCGCGGGGAGTGGCCGGGCCGGCGGGGGCCGTGTCCCCGCTGCCCCCCACGGCAGCCCCGCGGGTGGCAGGCGGCACGCGGGGCTCCCGCGCCCGTCACCATGACCCAGGCCTTCTGGAGGCTCTACAAGGCCAAAGTGCTGCAGACGCTGGGGGGCGAGCGCGCCGAGGACGAGGTAGGGTGGGCGCCGGGGCGGGGGGGCAAAGCGGGGTCAACACCCCCCAAATCCGCTCCCCGCATCCTTCGGGCTGCCTCCCAGGACCCCCCGGAGCTGATGGAAACGGCGGAGCCGCCGGCGCTGGCGGAGGAGGGGACCAGCCCTGTGTCCCAGCTGGCACGAAAGGTGAGGCCGGGGGGCCGGGGCGCCCCGAGGGGCTGCCGGGCCCGGCTGAGCGCGGCCTCCGTGCGCAGGTGCAGGGGGTGGGAGCCAAGGGCTGGCGGACGCTCTCGTCCCTCTTCGGCCGCGAGGACGAACACCAGCTGCTCGGCCCGGAGCCCTGCGCCGACCAGTAAGTGGGACCGGCCGGCAAGGCGGCCTCGCATCCCGGCTGGGTGTTCCCGCATCCGTCCCCTCGCCCGCGGGCGCTGTCCCCCCACCAGGACCCAGCAACTGGGTGCTTTGCTCCCACAAAGCCGGGATGGAGCAAAAGGGGAAAAGGAGAGCAGTGTCCCGGGCATCCAGGTCCCTTCTGTGTCCCCCACTGTCCCTTCTCTGTCTCCGCAGCCCGCTGGCTGCGTCGCCGGCCGAGCTGCCCCCTGCCAAGGCGCCTGGATTCTGGGACCTCTTTGCTAGCAAGTGGCAGCCGACGTCGGCATCGGAGGAGCCGGAGCCGGAGCCGGGTGAGAGCCCCGTGGAGCCTGTGGGTGACAGTGGCTCCGGCAGCAGCCTGCACAAGCCGGAGGAAGGCGGCTTCAGGTGGGGCTTCCTGGCCGGAAAACTTGCTGAGATCCGGAATAAAAACGCTCCCAAGGGCAACTAGAGGAGGAGGCGCCCGGAGGGACTCGCTCCAGCTGCCCAGGATGGGCAGCCCCCATCCCTAGCCGGGGGATCTGGGTGTCCTCACCCTGCAGCTGGATCCGCACCCATCCCTGACGCTGCCCGTGCCCTGGGGTAGGGGCTCGGGGTGACCCTGCGGTGGGCGTTTGCAGTGAGTTTTGGCAGGTCTCAGCCTGCATGGAGGTGTCTGCACTAAAGACCTTGAGCTGCCCCTTTGCCCTGTGCTGCGTGGAGCTTTTCTTTGCCTGGGGAGGGTTGCCGGGTCTGTCCCCACAAGGGTGACATGGTGGGACGGATGCCCCACAGAAACAGCACGCACAGCCGGGTTGGAAACGCAGGCAGGTTTATGGAGCTCCACCTGATCCCGCACAGCCTCCCGTCGCATGCGGTGAGCCTGGCAGGAAGGGAGCAGCTGGGCGCTGCCCTTCCTCCTCGGGACAGCCCCGTCCCCCTCATCCGATATATCCAAAACGGCCCCCTCCAGGCTAAAACGGGTCTCCGAGGCCACGATCTGTCCGCCCGCTCGTCCCCAGTCAACAGGGTCCAGCCCGCAGTGCCCGTTTCCCCTCGGGTAGATCTGCTGTCTCTCCTGGGCACGCACAGGCCCAGTCCGGGGGGGCATCCGCACGGACCCGCTGGGGCTCTCCGGGCTCTCCCGCCGCATCCGTCCCCCTCACACTGTGGACTCCTTGGCGTCCGCCCAGGCCCGCTGGCAGCCGTAGAGCCACTTGATGACACGGGCATTGCGCTCCACGATGGACACGGCGGCGCCCGCGCGGC